CAACAACTGGAGGGCACAGTTTACCCGGCTTTTTATTTACCTCCTCACATGAGTGATTATTGCTGGCGGCCTCACTTTGTCTCCTCCCTGCGGACTCGCTATGTCTCCTCCTTGCGGACTCGCTATGCCTCCTCCCCTGCGGACTCGCTATGCCTTCTCCTTGCGGACTCGATATGCCTCCTCCCTGCGGACTCGCTATGTCTCCTCCCTGCGGACTCGCTATGTCTCCTCCCTGCGGACTCGCTATGTCTCCTCCCTGCGGACTCGCTATGACGGGGTAATTTAACCAGGCGCTCCTCACAAGTGATGGAAAACAAATTGGCCACAGGCAGCGCCCGACTGCAGCTGAATTGAATGAGTCATTCGGGTGATAATCTGCAACAAAGGGAGGGAAGACATGTTGACATCTCCATGGGGGAGGACCCCTCGTTTCTGGGGACCATAATAGCTTTCTGAAGCAGGGGTGAGGTGGGGGGGTTACTCCAGACGCGTCTGAATTGATTTCTGAAACGACAGAGCAGATGCTTTTGTCTCTAACGCGTCAATTCACAACACCTTCAGATCAGGTCCCTGCTTTTTATATCATTTGGCAAAAAGAAAACCTTTTGATCCAACGAACAAACAAAAGGAGGAGTTTTCTGTTAGCAATGCAGATAACTGAATCATTTGATTGATTTGATCAAATTAGACTTCAGATCGAAATGGGAACAAGCACCCAGCTGATTTTTCTTTTTTTTAAAGAAACGGTTGGAGCATGGAAAAACAATATTTACACATGGACTGTTTTGAATGCAGGTTAGGAGATACTGCTTATGTTCCAGCATGGCAACTAGATGTAACAAATGTCTAATGCCAAGAGAAGTAGTCGATTCATCAACTTGATATTCACACATTCAAGTGCATATGTTTAAGAAAACAAGCCAACTAAGACTTAGTTCAGATTCCATGACGGGAGGATGTATTGCTTTCGTCTCCGTTACACAATAGAACATTTCGTGTTTGAGTATTGGTTGGAATGAAAGCAATTTGAAGAGGTCACCATGGATTGTGGTACATTCTGACTATAGCATAGACTTTTTTCTGACATTTAATACAACAAATAAAAAAGGCAAGGAAAGGATTAGATCATTAAGAAAGCCTTTAACATTTACTCTGCACTTCTAATCCTTGCGACCAACGACACAGGTTCAAGTATGATGTGGTCATTTCTGTTCAATCAGACTTAAGTGTAAACCTCAAAGACATAACGAACCAAAGGAGAATATTGAATAAAGTGGATATCACATATGTATGCACCACATATACAAACGCAAATGCCTCGTATGTGTAAACCTACTTGGTGATAAAAAAACGATTCTGATATCAATATATTCACGAGGAAGTCAACGTTCTTTAACTGTGTACCTTTCTCCAAATCTTTGTATATATTCATCCAATTAATTTTCCTTTGGGCTCGTCATTAGATCATAATTTCAAAGTACACTGATCATTTAGTAACAGGAGTTTCTTTGGTCATGTAGATGTTTTGCTAAGCAATGCATTGACCTGAATAAAGCATTCAAACTGTTTTAGGGGAGACCTAATACCCAGACCTCATTAAGGTACCTGTCATATCAAAATTCCTTTCCAAGCATACCGATTTAAAAAGATATAGAATGTAACTCATGTTTAAACCTTCCTCAACTGATCTCATCGTGTTCTGTTCTCTAGAGATGTGTATTCTTTTAATACATCACAAGTTGAAGTAGGTTGGGAGGAAGCTTAAGGCTGCTATCTAACCCTGAGACTCACTCTGCCTGCACTGCTGAATCCCTACCAGCTGGGACACTTCACTGCCTGACCTCTGACCTCTGAGCTTCCTGCAGGAGAAAGAAAGAGTTTCTCAAATGGGAACGACGAACATTTAATATAACAATATTTTTTAAATGGTGATAAATAGTAGCTGTCAAGATGGGCAACAGAGTAAATGACAATTAAAACTCAATCAAAATAGCAAAACAAGCAAAGTATATTCTGTACCTTTGGAAATGGCTTTAAATTCATGATAACTAACGGAATATATTTGTGTTAATGCAATGTGAAATCAATCTTATTGACTGTTTAAATTAATAAAACTGAATCGAAAAGCAAAGCTATAGTTTCACATGTACTTGTGATGGCTTTTGTGACGCAAGAAAGTACTACATTAGCATCGATCAAACTAATTAAAAAAAAAAAAAATTGCAATATTTTTCCTTCAACTTTCTCCTCCGTGTTATCTGACGGCACCCTCTAGTGGGCACACGACACATTGAATGAATGTCTGTTACAGTTGGCTATACGACTACTTCTGGGCATTTATTTCCCCATACCAACTTTATAATGCATTATAAAAATTAAGAAATAAACATAATCAGTGAAAAAATAATTCAAACATGACAGACTTTGTTTAGGAAAGATAAAAAAAGTTTTAATCCGAAGCGGAGGGTTCACCAGGGAATCCAATGCACTGTACAAGGTTAACTTATTTTACAATAAAATACAAATAAAAAAAGGTTACCACAGTTTAAACCAGGCGGAACAAAAGTCACAGATAGTTCATTATCACACTGGAAGAACAGAGCATTGACACATTTGAATAACAGTGTTTTTGATGAACCCATAAAACTCGTAACAGTGACATATCGCCTGTCTCTATGAACCTCCTTAACATACAATCATTTAGGTACCTTAAACAACATGTATTCCCCCTACTTTGGTCATATTATGCTATTCTGTTGTTCTCAGTGTTAAACAAACTTATCAGTGACCATGTACAAATAGAAAGTAGAAATCAGTAACTAAATATTTCACATTTATGTATAGAGAAAAACAAAAGAGACAGACTTAAAACAGGAAGGCTCCGGAGACTTCTGTGTTACAAATAAAACAGCATTTCCACATCATACAGAATACAAATGCTCTCATCGGCTTGACAAGGTCACAAAAAGAAAAATGTAAGTACGTTAAATCTGGCCCAAAGACTTGTTTCCCAAAAGGCAATAAATTAAATACAATTCTCTCCCTTCAAATAAAAACATGTTGGTAAAACTGCAGCCTAGAGAACTGAAAAGGACGTCCAGAGATCCCAGTTCAGTTTCAAAAGGCTGCCGAGATGAATTCAGTCAGGGTTATTTAGAAATAAAAAAAGTTATTGAGAAGACCAGAGTACAAAGTGACCTTCAGAATATGACAATTAACGGGGAAACAACAAAAAGGAGGTAATGTCTTCGAGTGTCCATCTGACATGTCATGCATGTTCAATCGCCTTCAACAAACCCATCGTTTCAACACCCACAACTCTTTCAAAGCAGGATGCACCAGTATCAGATTCCTATGTATTTCCAATTAGACCATGAAGCAACAACACATGATGAACATCAGGAATAGGAGAAAAACTTGAGGATTTCTCCTTGGCATTTCCAGATTCTATGATCACAATGTAACACAGGAGGCTAGTGAAGTAGTTGGAGAAATCCACAGTTGCTTCCTGAAGGGCAGCACCGTTTTCAAAAGTTATTTAGTTGTAGAAATGTTGATACCGGTGCATGCGTACTCCCTATACAACAAAATGAGCAGATGTCAGTCAAATCAAGCCATGACAAGTAAAGCTGGAGGAACATACATAGGAAGTGTGCATACAAAATGGCCGACCCACAAAATGTAGAAAAGGGGCTTTAAGTACGTAACATTTTCTGCAAAATAAACAATTATGCACGTGTCATTTTAATATCTAAGTCCCTTAATCTGTTTTCAACAACAGGGCCTTCATCAGGTATAAGTGCTTCTTGAGTGTTGACCAAATATACCCAGATACTGGCCATCACATTAGGGCTGGGAAATATATTAACATGTATCCATATCGTCAAATTGTGTTAGATTTGGGATATCGTAAAATAGTGTTTCTCGGCTTAGATGAGATTTGATTTTCTAGATCTATTAGTTGTAATTACGAATGATTATTTATCAAAAAGCACCATCAGTACACCTTACAATTGTGAAAATATTTATATATTTGGTAAGGAATATTGTGATATACTCTATATAACCCAGCCTTACAGTACACGCTCATGTTAAAAAGATCAGACTGTAACATTACTGCTCATTTCAACCTTCTCAAAATCGTACAAAAACTTTCTTTCGACTTTCCTTTAAACCACCAACATATCATACCACCCTCACCACGTCACACTTCCACCATCCAGCTGACCAAAAAGTTAAAAAAAATTAAAGTATTTAAAGTCCCGTTAGACTGTAACATTTCATATTTGACGGATTCGTTAACAGTGGGTATTTTCACAGTCTGTGAGAGTAGTGATTATCAAATGAACGCTATTTTTCATATCCGGATTTAAAAACATTTGAAATATAAAAGTGACCTGCTCACTGACTCGGCATCAGCGGCACAACAAAGAGAGAACATCACCCAAAAATATCATCCATTAACCAACATATCGTACCGTATCACATCTCCCAGTTAAACACACATTATGAAAACACACACACTAACAAACACACTGTACAAAATATATACATATCCTACACTTACTAGTGGTCATAGAGTTTGATACAGTAGCTACAAATAAGTTTCAATAAGCAGGTCTGAGCCAGTGGAGCCAAAGCAAAGAAACAGGAAGAGCTAAACAATAACGTGTAGTGGTTATTCAAAACAGAGCAGCATGCAATGTGACGAGCGTTAATGCTTTTACGTTTAAACTGATCTCTGAGCAGATCTTAAAATGCAGACTTGTTGATAAATCCATTCAAAAAGTCACAATGGAATTTGAATAATTCAGATTCAAATGCATAACTTTGATAGCTGATCAATGTAACAACATTATTGAAACCTGACAAATAAGTGGTATAAAAACTAAATTAAGAATGTTACAATAAGTTTGCATAGACTCTTATATTAAAACAAACTAATTATCCGTGCACCCAGTTCAACTTAAAGTGTTTCTCGTCATCATTACTTTATTCCATTTATTTCAGATATGATTACTAAACTAAATCACGCTCAAAGAAATACTGTCCAACCTGATGCACCATTATCTGAATACTACAAGTACGAGAAATCTGGGACTTGTCTGAAGTATTTCTGAAAGTAGAAAGGGGGTTTGAGCTTCAGATATCACATATTGAGGTCATAACTGTTTTGCATGTTTGGAAGCAAAGTCATTTTTTCCCCATTAGGCATCTTTACATTAAGGGTATCTAAGAGGGGGAGGGTTGAAATCAACTGGAAGTACCACTCACGTCTAGTTGTCTGTCCAGCAGTGATTCCCTGGCTCTGGCAGAGGCTGAATGCTGCTTTATATTAGTCACAGTTAAAAAGAGACTGACTACGATGAAAACATGATGACAAACAAGAGGAATATGAATACTGCTCGAGTCCTGTCTGAGACAAGGAGGAGGAGGAGCTGTTGGGTTTTTACAGCGAGATCTCCTGAGCGGGAGAGAAACACATCCGGGTCACAGAGGAGGAGTTCTGCTGGAGAGGGAGGAGGGAGGGGAGGAGGGAGGAGAGGAGGGGAGGAGGATGGATGGATGGATGATGGGGAGACTCATAAATACAGTTTACGCTAAGAAGTATCACATTTGTCCAACATGTTAAACTAAATGAGGATGTGGTGGAGCGGTTTCCCACTAAACGGTTTCTACATTTGAAAATATATATTTTTTTAAAAAAGCTTTAAAACTGCTGACACACGAAGATCTTCACCGTATAGTTCTGCCAAATTCCATTTCATTATGATAGCCCCTTATTATTATTAAAGTCACAGGAAACTTCTGTGCATGACTGGTATAATAATAGTCCATTCTTACCTACCCTACCTTTAATGTATGAGCATTATTTGGACAGTGATTTGCTTTGTTTGGAAACCGTGTCATACCTTGGAAACCTTCAGAACTCTGTCCTTAAAAGAAAAGTCCGGGTTCTTGACTATCAGCCCCCCCTTCCCCAACATGTGACCATTTAATGGGCTGTTCACCTGTACACACAAACAAGAATATTATTACTTTTTTTAAAACAAGATTACACTTCTGGGTGATTTGCTTATTTTTGGCAGATAGAAGAAAAAAATAAAACTCTTAGAGTAAAGAATACAAAGTACAACAAAAATACAAAATGCATTAGATAGTGATCCTAAAACAATTTCTAAAACAAAAGAATACCAAGTCTTACCGCCTGTAGGATGACGTTCTCTTTACCAGCTTTTCTTCCCGACTTGGAGTCGATATCTGGGGAGATTTGTCGGAGCCGCCTCTCCCCCGTCAGCTGCTCACCGCGAGCTTTGCGCTGTTACCAAAAGTATCAGGTGGAGAGAAAACAGTTATAAGTTTAGTTTTAAAAAATATAAGTCATGTTGCTGAAATATTCGACACAAAGAGATGCATGGGTTTATTTAAGGACTCCAATCACAGTTAGACCACCTGTTGGACCGTGCAAATGTAAGCAGGCGTTTGTTTTAGATGTGTTTAACTTGCAAGTGTTAAGAAGAAATGAAAACAACTTGTAATCAATGTTCACATTTGGAGCTTGCAACTTGTTGACTAAAAGGTATACTCAGTAGGGATGCTCCGATCACCGGAATCACTATCGGCCGATACACACAACTCTTACCCCTAGATTCCACCAGGTCCGTCTGCGTCGCGTTACGGCCACGTTACGGTGTCCGCAAGGATCGCGGCCACTCTAGTCAATGGGTGCTATTCCACCAGACGCCCCGCGTTACGGCTCAGAAGCGTCTCGCCGCTGGGCTCCGCTCAAAATAGGATTAAAGTCTATTTTTCGACGCGACGCGTTGCATAGTGCCGGGCAGGAAGTGGACCGGTCAGAGCATCTTTCCCATCCCCAAAATAAACTAATTTTGCAGATCCTATCCCTCCGTAGTCTTTCAAGTAGGAGGAGAAATGCCAGCGTTCTCCTCCGGTTTAAAGGCACTGTGTACATTATATATATATAGAATCATTTTGATGATGAATGCATTTTTTTACCACTAAAATACAGCAACACATCTTTGATTCATTTCGTTTATAACTGGGATATTACAATTATTATGATCTTGGTTCCATATAAAATAACGCTGATAAAAAATTAAAATCATATATTTTCTGTTGTGCTTAAAGTCTTGTTCTTCTTGTCATTCCCCTGATGGTTAAGTACCTTGATGAGGCCTCCGAAGGAGCGGGAACGTGGGTGTTTCTTGCTGGCAGTGGGGGGGAGCTGAAGCCGGTCGTCCGTAGGCGTCCCTGAGGTTGTCTGTTTGACTAACTGCACATAGAAAGAAGAACAACATCACTTAGTATCACATTTCACACACACACTGAATCATAGTGACATGCAAGCTGTCTTTGGCTCTTTCAGGCTGTAACAAATGTAAATGTCCGCTCTGTGGGAAGAATAAAGGTATTCTGAGTCTGATGCATTCAGGATACACATGTTTTCAGTTCATCTAGCAGAGCTTTAAGACGGTAAAATAAGACCCCAAGTTGAACCTGTCGGACGAGTTTCTTCTTCTTGGCGGAGTCGGGCATGCTGTGGTTGACGTGTCTGAAGAGGTCCTTCAGAGCCTCCTCTGTGTACTGTTGGGCCGGGGACTGGCACTGCTCCTGGGGGGGGGCCGACCTCTTTAGGGGCAACAAGGTCCGCTGAGCAGGAGATCTGCTGGCTGCAATCAGCTCCAGATCATCCTGAGA